TATCTACGTAAATGTTGGTGTATCTAATATTTGTATATATCGATATTTCATGATATTTGTTTTTACATTTTCATCCTTTTTGAGACTACATATTAGTTGTGTGTATTTGCATTTAAATTATGAAATTATTAAATATTACGATAAGTATATTAGGTTTTGTGTATTTTGTACCCTAGCGTCACTTTGCATGATGCTCTCTTAATCAACGTAACAACAACAACAACAACAATAATAATAATAATAATAAATATGATAACTACAAATACCCGTGAAAAATTCACGGCTCTTGTATTTGAATTATTCAATAATTCAATATGCTCCTTTGCAAGTTCGACGATGATAAAATAGCCGTGTAAATTTCCCTATTGCATTTTTAAATATTTGAGCTGAACAACTGTAATAAAATATCGCAATAACAACCATAGTTATGAATGTAGGTCATTATTTAAAGTAATAAGAGGGTGCAAATAAAAAGATCTGAAATTGACAAGGTTTTCCTTTCACTGAAACAGACGTTAACAATAGGAGAGCATTATCCTCATCCACATCATCTCTTTCTTGCTTTTTTTTCTTTCTTTTTCTCACTGAAAGTAAACGGCCTCTCTAATATTTCTTTTCTCTTTTTATTCGAAATCAAAGCGGAATAGTTCATTATTTATGAGGTATTGGCAGGACATAACGTAGGCGTTAACCCACTAACTCGGGAATTAAGGAAAATGCTCAATTATAAAACGGTAATAATAATAATAATAATAATAATAATAATACAACTAATTTGAAATTACATTTTCTTTTTTAATTTTAAGTCTCTTTGACTTTATTTAACTTAATTTTTTTCCTTTTCTTTTTTATCCTTAATTGGTTTTATTGTTTTTTTGTGACCCCCTCAACTTCAAATGTAAATGTATGTTCACATTTAACCTTTCATTTGGTAGTAGTCATTGCGACTTGTACTAAGTTAAAACTTATTATGGTCAATACCACTTTCATATTCCTGTTAACTCCCTGAATGCAAGTACTAGATGATGAACTCTCGAACCCTGGATATCTGAATATAATCCCCTTTTTCATGGGTAGGACGAGCTCTTTAGTCTTGGACGATAGTTGCCCTAGAGCTGGTATCTAGTATCGAAACAAAATTAACCCTTGGCAGTCAAGAATAAAGCGCCAAAAAAAAAAGAGAGAAAAATCAATGCTTACAAATATTCATACCGGATCGGCCGTCACCCGTGTCAACAAGGGCCGCGTTCCTCAGAGAAGAATCAATCTGTGCCCGAAAAATCTGTCACTGAAACAAACTTTTCCAATAACAATGAGGGACCTAGTCACCAAATCCGGACTATTTCGAAACTTGGACAAAGTGACACAAGAAAGCGAGCGGAAGAGAGTAGACTTGCGAAGAGAATCAACAAGTCATGACATCTTTTCCCCTCACACATGGAAATCCGCAAAAGAACATGGTAGGAACTGGATTAAGATTTTATCTCAGCCGAAAAATGTTTGCCAATCTCCACGGGGACATCATGCGAGATAAAAGACTCTCAAATGTAGAAATAGATAAGATGAAACTAAATATAAGATAAAATATAATAACTCATCATTCAAATAATAAATAGATGAGAGTGTAAATAAATGAGAGGGGGTGAGGTAAATATTAAGATAAATGAGATACGAAATAATAATCCCTCAAGAAATAAAACTAAAGACTCTACCTGCGACATAAGTTGCAGTTATTCAGATTATGTCACTGATGCTGGGTCAAGCGATATTAGGACAGAATTCCTTGAAAAGAACAGAGGTGAAATCACCGAATCGAAAAACGACTTCATTCAAGTACTCAGCAAAGTAACTCGCACAAAAATATCAGAGACCAGCTCCCAAACATTCATATGACAAAGTCCAATAAACATATTGTGCAAATACCACTGCCTACATACCACTGGGACACACTACATAAATAAATAATGTCATATACGCAACAGCTATAGAAGCTATTGTGAAGCTTGATATCAAGGCAATGAAAAAATCAAGCAACAGACAAAAAAAGCCAGCTTGGAAGGCTACATTGAAACGCGAAATAAAGGAAATCAGACGTGAGTTATCGATACTAGATGAGATCTCAAGAAACTCAAATTTCTCAACACATAAATGCAGAAAGATCAAGCGGGGATATACAATTACTAAATGAAATTCTACTCATCAAGGAATACTAAAACAGAAACTTCATTTAAAGGCACAGAGAACAAGACGATATGAAAAGTATTGTAGGTTATATCACCATAATAAGAGATTCCAAACGGACCTTAAGTAATTTTACAGGGAATTTATAAAAGCATTTATAGATGTCAAAAAGCTACCATCTATTGAAAATGTGCAGAAATTTTGGGAGAATAATTGGAATTTCTTAAAGGAATATAAACCCAATGCAGAATGGATCCAACGAGAAGAGCGAATGATAGATAAACATCGAGAAGAATGGGAAAATTAAATCCAGTCTATGATAGGCAAGCTCTGATGAAATCCCAAAAATGAAAATCCCCAGGAAATGACAAGGTGCCAATTTTTTGGCTCTATCATCTGTCATCAATCGATAAAACCCTTGCACAAACTTTATCAATGTTTTATTAGCAATCCCAATGAAGTTCCAGAATGAATCACTGAAGTTATTGCATAACTCTTGCCAAAATCTGGTGAAACAGATGATCGGAAAAATTATAGGCCAATTATATGTCTGTGCACGACGTATAAATTAATCACGTCTATCCTGAAGAACTCTACTTACTCTTTTCCCGAAGAAAACAGCATTCTTTTCCTGGAACAGAAGGGATGCCGGAGAGGTTCATATGGTTGCAAAGATCAACTATTGATAAACAAAATTTAGAAAATTTCAGAAAAAGATATATCAATCTCAGAATAGCATGGATAGAGTACCGTAAAGCCACTGATAGTGTGCCACACTCCTGAATCCTTAAGACTGGAAACGTACAAAGTCTCCATGGTGAAAGTAAATTTCCTTAAACACAGCATGAGGATGTGGATAATCACATTATACCTAACTCACACCAGAGGCATTTCCACGTCCAACCGCCCGAATATCCTACGATGAATCACCCTTCTGTTTGGTCTATCCTTAATTCCTTTTCGGATGAACAGCTATAACTATGGATACAAAGTAAACAAAAACTACTTAATTATCTACTATAAATCAAGGATCTCAAATTCTCTGACAAAGGCGACAGCGAATTGAACAGTCTCCTCAATTCAGTAAAATGTTTCAGTGATGACATAGGAATGGATTTCGTATTAGATAAATGTACAAAAGTAACATTCAAGAAAGAGAGAATTACAGAACCACACTCAACAGATCTAGATTTTGTTACAAAAATTAGTGCACTGTAACAAGAAGAATCCTATATATAATTAGGACTTAGCGAAAGAAATGGAATGCAACATACCTAAATGAAGGAGAAAGTAAGAAAAGTACAGGCCTGTGTGTCTGGTGCTAATTGAATTCACAAAGCAGAATATCAGCCATAAACAATTAGACTGTCCCAGCGGTGTAATACTGTTGCAATATCCTTAATTGGACCATAGCTGACATTAAGCGAATGGATATCAAAACGAGAATGCTCCTCACCAATCACCGCATGCATCATCCTGAGGTTGATATTGATCTTCTATATGTGCTCAGATCCGAAGGGGGCAGAGGATTAGTTCAACTAGAACTTACAAAACGACAACAATTGGTCTTTTTTTCTTTTCTTTTTTTAAGCATTTCACCCCAAGCAAGGCGGGAAGCCACTAGGACGCAAGGGGTTACAGAAAATAGGAAGATCAGATAGGAGTGATAGAAGAAAGGATGAGGGTAGTAAATAGATTAAGGCAACTGGAGATGTCGATTGACATTACACTTGAATAGCTGGAGATTATAACTCACAGGGAAACAGAAGGGAAGAGAGTTCCACAGGCGAGATGTGCGAGACATGAAGCTATTAGAGTAGAAGAGACGGCTACATTTAGGAGTTTCGACAGTGAAGGGGTGAGAGCGGGATGCCAGCCTCGTAGGGCGCTTGAACACATGAAGTCTGGGAACCAGCGAATGCAACTCCTCGGAGCAATTTCCATGAAATTATTTGTAGAACAGACAGAGGGAGGCGACGGTGCGTCTGTGAGAAAGTGACTGTAGACGAGACGCCAGGGCAGGGCCAACCATATTGCATATCCGCTTCTGGAGCCTATCAAGAACCCCGAGGCAAACAGAAGGGTCTGCAAAGATACTTGGAACCTACAGGAGACAGGGTGAAGATATGTTTCAAAAAACATGAACGACAGAAGAAACTTTATTCAGTAATGAAGGAAGTCAATAAATTCAAAAGGGAATTTCAGGAATTGCAAGTAAAACATAATACACCTACTCGAATTTTGTACAGGGATCTCAGTGAGAACCAAAATCACTAATCAGTGGAAATGGCTAAACAGACGAGGCTCTCGAACCATTATCCCATTATTTTAAAAGTTTAACAATGCTAATCTGCCCTATAGTGAATTGTCTATGGCACTGAAATGCTAAGGGGCGACTCATGAACCATTTTTCTTACGATTTTATGGCGAGCCAGAATATAATTTACCGAACTGCTAATGCTTTGCACCTGTTACACCTTCTTTGTTAACGTTTACGATTTTTTTAAAGATCTCAACCTACCGCTTACTTTAAGTGCTACTTGGAAAACAGCTTCTTAGGTCGTTTCTATCGATTGCCTTTGTGACGTAATAAGATAGATAGATAGATAGATAGATAGATAGATAGGCTTAGCGGTGTAATTTGATAGATCGGAATTTTCGGAATAATATATTTAATAATATATTTAAAAAGGCTTATAATATACCATAGCCGCTTCATTTAGCAGTAAGTGATAAGGACCCGGTTATATTTTAAAAATGAATGATATCTTTTAAAAACAAAGAAAGCTTTTTTCATAGAAACGGACGCAAGTAATTTGATGAACCTGACGAGTCGTCATTTAAGAGATAACAAGATGCATTTGAAGCATGTAGTAAAATAACAATCCTCGAAGATCACCTGTTACCGGACTGTTTATTCAAAGTATATCCCTTCTTTCTTTCTTTCTTTCTTTCTTTCTTTCTTTCTTTCTTTCTTTCTTTCCTGCTTTCTTTCTTTCTTTTTACTATCTTCTTTCTTTCTTTTCTGTTTCTTCTTTTTTTCTTTCTTTCTTTCTTTCTTTCTTTCTTTCTTTCTTTCTTTCTTTCTTTCCTGCTTGTGTGTGGGCTTTCTTTTTACTATCTTGCCACTTACTTTCTTTTCTGTTCTTTCTTTCTTTCTTTCTTTCTTTCTTTCTTTCTTTCTTTCTTTCTTTCTTTCTTTCTTGTGTGTGTGCTTTCTTTTTACTATCTTGCCACTTACTTTCTTTTCTGTTTCTTCTTTCTTTCTTTCTTTCTTTCTTTCTTTCTTTCTTTCTTTCTTTCTTTCTTTCTTTCTTTCTTTCCTCTTGTGTGTTTCTTTCTTTTTACTATCTTCTTTTTTCTTTTCTGTTTCTTCTTTCTTTCTTTCTTTCTTTCTTTCTTTCTTTCTTTCTTTCTTTCCGCTTTTTTTCGTTACCTTTCTTTCAATTTTTCTATACTTTGTATTTATTTATTTACATTCTTTCCCTCCTCCGTATTTCCCAATCTTTCTTTATTTAGTCTGTTCACATAATATTTCTCTATTTTTCCTGCAATGTTATTTGTTATGTATTCATTTATTTACTTTAAAAATTTTTTTTTTTTTTTGCTGATTTTATTTTTCCTTATTTTTCGTTGTGTTATTCTTCTCTTCTCAGGTTTCTTTTTGTTAATTTCTTTTTGTTCTTCTTTCTTTCTTTTTTCTCCTTTTCTTGCTTTTCTGTCTTTCTTCCCTTAGTACAGCTTGAATATTCTTCCTCTTGTTTAGTAATTTTATTTTATTCTTTCTTTCATTCTTTCATTCTTTCTTTCTTTCTTTTTTCTTTCTTTCTTTAGTTAACTTATCTTCTGTCTACTGTTATCTGTTTCTCTTGTAATTTTATTGTCCTAATTTTTTTTTTTTTTTTTGGAACATGCCTTTATATTTTAAGACGTCAGACCGCTAAATTTGTCACACCTACAACATCTGCTGCCAAAGGTCAGCAATCAGGTGGGCGCCATGTTCCTATTTCAGAAACACGAGGCAAGATCCGGTTCACTTTATCGCAATGAAATTTAAGAATCATACCTGAATGCACACACATGCACTGTGGGTCAATCAAGAAAGAAATGAACAGGTTCACTTGATAGTTACCACCTCTGCATACATGAGCCAGTAAATAATAATAACAACAACAACAGCTGTATCTTCCCTGTTAGTAAAACTTGGCTGAATTTCTGACCAAATGCCTTTTACTCCTGATTTCAATGCACAAGACATACACTGAGTAATGACATTTGATAAAAGATAGAAAATGAAAACTGAAAATCCGATGGTTACAGTTTAAAGCATTATTTTTACGATTGTGATTTTTCCTTAATCGCCCTGGGAACAACATTGAACTTGTTGCATTGAATCTATATTCATTTTCCTTCGGGTGTTGAATTTAATATGTTAAAACTTTCTAGCTTATTTAATAAAGAATATATTTCTGATAGGAAAAAAAAAATCAAAACATATATATAGGTACAGTGTAACCCGGATATAAGAAGGTTGCCGGGACCGGATAAGAAGTCTCTTATATCCGGGTTTCTCTTATATCCAGGTTTGGTCTATTTTGTTTAGGTAAGTATGGGAACACTTTGGGACCAGAGAAAATCTCTCTGATATCCAAGTTTCTCTTATATCCGGGTCTCTTATATCCGGGTCACACTGTATACATAAGTCCATTTTACACGAGAGTTAAACGTAGGTCCAAAAATATAGACAAAGACACTAGTCCATTTTATACCAGAGTTAAAATGTTAGAAATAGATCCTGTTGACACCAGATTAAAAACAAAAAGCTCCACATTAGTCGGGTTCATTCCTGAATCACCAAATGGCCACTTGGATTGTTTTACTCTTTTTCAGGAGATGTAGTCGACGTATTCTAAGCCCCACCAACATGGCGAAACATATATTAACCAGCACTGATCCATAACAAATTCTTCCAAGCGAATTGTCTGAAGTGCACCGTTTTTTTTTCCCTCTAGTTACGCCAGTAAGGTTTGTTTTGGAGAGGTTTTGTTGCTGAGCATGTATAATTATTTTTGGTACTTTTAAGATATCAAAATATTAATGAGCGTGTTTATTAATTTGTTTAAGATATTCTGTCTGTAATAAACCACTTTCTAAAAACTAGCATCTCATCATATTCATTTTAACGTTGCATAAAAGGGTAACTCCGAGTTAGCATTTTATATATATACGCACAGTACCAGAAAGACCTGACAGTCTTTTGTGTTGTTAGAAATTCATAATCCTCTTCCAATAAAGTTAAAGAAAAGGTTGTCTTCAAGAAAAGCAACCAAAGACAGTAACCTTAAAAAAAGAAGCTAGTGCTGAATTTTTTAAAAAATTGCAAGAATATGGCATTTTAACAAGAACACTATCCTAATAATTATAATAAGGTGTACACTTGGAAAAATAAATTCATTTAAAAATTGATACACACATTAAGAAACTGCCAGGAAACTCGGCACAATTTTTTTGCAAATCTGATACATACGTTAAAGAACACGCATGTAATCTATTACTATTGAAACTGATTCTGATATTCTAGGGGGAAAAGACACACTAAGATATAAAAAAAAAATGTGCGCATGAGCACTTTTCACACATTTAAGATAATTCTCACAATGTAATACGAGGATGGACTGAAAAGTTCATAAACAGACGATGAAGCAGTGATGATAGAGTTGAGAAAACCTGCCTGCATTAATTTCAATTCTTCTTTCCAGGTACGAGAATGGGGTGAAAAGTTAATAGGTTGAGTATGAAGGAATGATGCTAGAACTATGAAATCTTGTAGATAATAATACCAACTCTTCTTATCAATAACTGCATTGTTTCTTTCCCGGTAAGTGGGTCGGTTGAAATGTTATGAGGCTGATTATGAAAGAGCGATACCAGAGTTGTGAAATCTTGCATGCATTAATTTTCAAGTCTTATTTCCAGGTTCGAGGGTAGAGTGAAAGGTTAATAGGCTGAGTAGGAAATAGTGATGCCAGAACTGAGAACTCTTGCAAATATTAATTTCAACTTTTCTTATTTGTAACTGCATTTTTTTTTTATAAATGTACACGGATGGGAAGAAAAATTTAATAGACTGAATAGGTGAATGGGATGCAAGAGCTGTAAAATCTTTGCGCGTATTAATTTCAGTCGTTCTTATTAATAGTTACATTGTTTCTTTCTAGGTATGAGGTTGGGCTGAAAAGTTAACAGGCTGAACATGAAGGAATGATACAAGAGCTGTGAAATCTTGCATACATTAATTTCAAAGTTTCTTATTAATAACTGCATTGTTTCTAATCAGGTACAAAAGATAATAGTCTGAATATGAAGGAATTATGCCAGAGTTGTGAAAATTTACATGGATTAATGATAACTCTTCTTATTAATAACTGCATTGTTTCTTTTGTGTTACGAGGGTGGGTGACAAGTTCATAGGCTGAGAATGAAGGAAATCTGCCAGAGCTGTGAAATCTTGCATGCATTAATTTAATTTCTTCTCATAAATAACTGCATTGTTTCTTTCTAGATAGAAGGGTGGACAGAAATATTCATTGGCTGAGTATGAAGGAGTGATACCAGAGCTGTGAAATATTGGATACATTAATTTCAACTCATCTTATTATTAACTGTATTATTTTTTCCAGGTATGAGTGTGGGATTAAAAGTTCATCGGCTGAGTATGAAGGTGAATACAAGAGCTATGAAATTTTGCATATATTAATTTCAATTCTTCTTAATAAGTGTTGTTTCTTTCCAGATACGCGGGGCGGGGTGAAATGTTCATAGACTGAGAGTGTATGAATGATTCCAAAGCTTTGGAAATTTGCATGCATTAATGTCAACTCTTCTTATTACTAACTATTTTGTTTCTCTCCAGCTATTTGGGTGGAGTAAAAATTTCATATGAGGAGTATTAAGGAGTTATGCTAGATTTGTGAAATCTTGCATTAATTAATTTAAACTCTTCTTAATACTAATGGAATTATTTGTTTCCTAGTATGAACGTACGTCTGAAAAGTTCATAGGCTGACTATGAAGGTGTAATGCTAGAGCTGTGAAATCTTGCATGCATGAATTTCAACTCTTCTTTTTATTAAGAGTATAGTTTATTTATTTTTAAAATTATTCAGGTAAATTGACTTAAATCTGTAACTTTTTCAAAATGAACAAAATGTGTCATTGTGGTGTTTTTTTGAAAATGGACAAAATGTGTCATCGTGTTGTTATCATCTACCTGGGAAAAAAAAGGGGTTTTCTCCAAGGACATTCATGTTGACATGTTCGGTGCATTCGCGGTTGTAACCCCAGCTTTATCAACAGTTCAAAAGTGGACAAATGAATTTAGGAGGGAAATAGAGAGTCTTGAAGGTGATCCTACATCTGGACATCCTGCAACTGTCACCACCAAGGAAAACATTGGTCGTATTCATCATATAGTGATGGATAACAAGCGCTTCACTATAAATATCCAATGCTATTAGCATAACCCGTGAGAGAGTTGAAAATATTCTACGCAATGTATTTGTCATGATGAAGGTTTCTGATCGGTGGGTGCTACGTTTTCTGACACCTGCATCAAAGCGGAACAAGCTGATCACATCATAGGAATATCTGACATTGTTTAAGGCAGATCCAGATGGTTTCCTTGAATGTTTCCTAAATAAGGACGAGTGTTTGGTTCGTCACTGAGATAAAGAGCCAATCCATGCTGTGGAAAAAACACTCCTCACTTGCCCCAAAGTTGGGCAAGGTCGTTTCATCTACAGTAAAGATGCCTCCGTTTTGGGGATTCAAACGGAGAGTACTATACAGACTTGCTGAGACAATTACGAAAGGCTATCAAGAACCAACATCCAAGAAAATTATGAAATGAATCCTTGGACAATGTCTGCTGCGTGTGACAGTGACTTTAAACGTATTGATCACCTATTCTCCTGATTTAACTTTTATATTTTTTCCAACATGAAAAATACTGGGAATTATTATCGCAGTGGTGATGATGTCTTAACTGCTGATGATAATTTTTTGACCAACAGGATCCGTTAAAAGTCTTCTTTGAATAGTCAGATGTGGGTTTACCTGGAAGTAAACATTGTAGCTATCAATAAGAACAGATTGAAATTAATGTATAGAAGATTTCACAGCTCTGGCATCATTCCTGAATCTGTAGTTGAAGGAGCAGATGTTACCATTCTCTGGGATTTTTCTATAAACACCGAAGGAACAATACAATCAAAAAGGATCTGCAATATAATCGATCCTGACTAGGCATCTCGACTTCAGTCACTTTCTCACCGACGAGTCGTGAATTCACTCTGTCTTTTCTACAAATAATTTCACGGCAACTGCTCCGACGATCTTTTTTCCTTAGTGTTTCGTCTAAATGAATTGAAGCGTGCTAATAGACTGACATCTAAATCCCACCGTTGATTTCCTGTTGAAATAGCTAAATGCAACCACCTCTTCTACTCCAATAATTTGTTTTCTCTCAATTCCCACCGTTGGGACTCCCTTCGGTTTAGTTGCTTTCCTAGTAACTACAATCTTCAAAATTAGTCCTCACCTTCTGTCTTATTGAATCCCCTTCATCTTCTGTCTTTTTCTCAATTCTCCCTATTCCCAGTTTTCACTTTCTCTCCCATGTCACCCCCTGCGTACTAGTTGAATTCCTGCCTTGCTTGGGATGAAATGATTAAAATATCGACCAGACAGTATTATCAAATACAGAAAAGGGAAATGTTTGTGCATTGACTGACATGAGCATTCGTACCAAATGATAAGATCATCTCTACGAAAGC